CCAAGAGGGTCAAAAACATATTAAGAGTGTATATGTGTTAAGTTGTATTATCACTTCCAATTATTTGTTCTCATTCCCTGGTAAAAGAATTACACTTTGCTGCCCTATTAACCCTCAAGCTTGACCATCTGACTTATTTTGGGCAATGGAATGTAAGTAGAAATGATAGGTGCCATTCCTAAACAGAAGGTTTAAGAGTCATCATTTGGCGCTCCCGTGACTTTTTCCCCTGCCATGAGACTTATAACAACCAGACTGAAAACTCCACACACACACACACACACACACACACACACACACACACATTCTGATGTGGCATACAGCAAATATATGACTAAGAATTTGTTAAAAGCAGCTCTAATTTCCAACTAATTTGGTTATTTAAAAAGTCATCATACTCACTGCTAAGTAATAAATGTCTGAACATAAAACTAAAAGAAGGAATGTTTAACAGCATTTTCCAGATCTAACCATTCTCTTTTTAACAAATATGCAACAAAAAATAAAACATAGTTAACCAGAAACCATCTGTTATTTCATAAAATAAAATTTAAAATAATCTTTTTAGTTATTTGGTTAATTTAATTTTCAGAACTAAGTATAAAAACATTGAAAATAAGATCATTGGAAGACTCACAAATAAACCCAAACCTGAAATTTTGATGTTTGCAGGTCAAATCCTTTGAGAGTAAAGTTGATAATGACTATGAGGATTAAAATACTGATACAGATTTGCATTTATGTTTGTAAATACAACATACTGAATAAATTTAATTGTCATACTTGAGTTTGTTCATTTACCATTTGTTCTTATTGCTGTTGTTCAGTAGGAAAAGCTAAGAGAAGTAGTACACTCTGAAATTCTATTATTTATTCCTACTCAGCAATGAATCTTTACTGTTTTATAGTGTATGTACAATACTGTGACAGAAGAATTGTTTTGTAAGAAAGAGACAAAAGACCTACAACAATCTGGAATTTAGCTTTCTGGAAATATCTGGGTTTGTGATGTCTTTGAGAGTGAGGCAGGAGCTCCTGGGCATACAGTAGCAATTTTTCCAAATATACCAATAAGGAATGAAAGCAATGAAAAAAACAGTTGTATGGGTATAAAACTTGGTAACTATTTACTGATTACAAGGGTAGTGAACAGGAGATATACTGAGGAAAAGCGTTAGTAATACATGGAGAGACACTTTACTAGAGAATAAAATGATCCTCAACATAGTGCATCTGAAGCCTTAAAGCATCTCTCCCTTCATTTTGCAATGGCAGGGGAGAGCAAGAAGAAGTGGGAGAATCTAATGTTTGTGCCATACTCACTAGTACTTAAATGCTCAAGATCTGGCCCTTAATGGGTTAATTCTCAGATATCTGAACAATGTACAGTAGTCCCCCACTTATCTGAGGGGATTACATTCAAGATCACCAGCAGATGCCCAAAACCACAGACAGTACCAAATTCCATACAGATGCTCCTTGATTTATGAAGGACTAACATCCCAAAAAAGCCACTATAAGTCAGAAATAAATTTATATGCCTGTTAACCCATTGTAAATTTAAAAATTGTAATTTGAACCATCATAAATCCAGATGGTCCTCGACTTACAGTGGAGTTATGTCCAGATAAACCCACAGTAAAATTGAAATGTCATTATGTCTAACCATCGTAAGTCAGGAAATGTCTGTGGAAGTACTTAAGCATTGTGGCTGTAACTTTTGCAGTTTGAGGTGTGGCAGCAAAACTAGCACAAATTTTTTTTTCCTTCACAATGTCGCACACAGAAGACTCATTCTTACCTTAGGTCTTAGCAATATGATTTTTTTTCTTTTCCTATTAGGTCAAGAATTTTCACCTTTTCACTTAAAGGAAGCACTTCACGGCTTCTCTTTGGTGTATTCAAATTGCCAGTAGCACTACTTCTGTGCTTTGGGATCATTATTAAGTAAAATAAGGGTTACCTGAACACAAGCACTGTGATACAGTGGCAGTCAATCTGATAACTGAGCCAGGTACTAAGTGACTAATGGGCAGGGAGTATAGATACCATGGATACACTGGACAAAAGGATTATTCACATCCTGGGCAGGATCTAGGGGGACTGCACAAGGTTTTACCATGGTACACGGAACAGCATGCAACTTAAAACTTATGAACCATTTATTTATGAAATTTTCTATTTAATAGTTTTGGACTACAGTTGACTACAGGTAACTGAAACCATGGAAAGTGAAACCACAGATACAGGAGGACTACTGTATTTCCTTAAATTAGCAGTTACCAAAGTTGACTCTTCATAAAAATTCACTTTGATGCATAAGAGAAATCACAGCCAACTTCCAAAACAAGCCCACTGAGTCGAAATATTCTAGTGTAAGGCTTGGACAAATATACTTTTCAAAAGATGATACTAACATATACCTCTTGTTAAGAATCAGTCTCAGAGGCTAGGCCTAGATAGTTAAATCACTTTTTAAATAATATAACAATATAACAGAATGTCAAATAATAGACAAGAACATTTGTCATTTTAAAATCAAAGAGCTGTTTTGAAGCATTTTCTATAATTAAAGACAGACGAAAAGATGAATGTTTAATTGGTGTCTATGTGTCTATTTGTGTGCATGCATTTGTATTTGTAATAATAACCCAGTAACTACTGAGATCATTGCTGTATAGGCATAGGATAATGACTATTTTGATAAATCATGACCTTGAGTTACCAAGAAAAATTAATCTACTCAGACTGTTGTAATGAAATACCATAAATTAAATGGCTTATAAACAACAGAAACTTGTATCTCAAAGTTCTGGATCCTGAGAAGTCCAAGATCAAGGAATTTACAGATTCAGTGTCTGGTGAGGGCCTGATTCCTTATTTATAGACAGATAACTATCTTTTTGCTGTGTCCTCGCATGGCGCAAAGGACAAGGGAGCCCTTTTGGTCCTCATTAAAGGACACTAATTCTGTTCATAGTTGCTCTGCCCAGTTACGTAATTATTAATACCTACCAAAGGCCATACTAACACCATCACCTTGGTGCTTAGGATTTTGTCAAACAAAATTTGTAGGAGGCTACTGATTTGGACTAGGCTCCTGCACTAAGCCTAACAGACCAAATCAATAGGGAGTTTAGCTATAGGAGCTGAGCTTTAGTTAACTGCAAGAGGCTCTGGAACTAATTAAACAATAACTAATAAAGTTGTCTCTACACTGCACTTCCACTTTCTATAAATGCTGTCAGATCACGTTATTGGCTTGAGTTCTTTGAACCTGCTCTGGTTCAGGGGACTGCCTAATTCTTGAACCATTTTTGTTTTGTTTTGCTTTGGTTTGTTTTTCTTTGCTGAATAACCTCAATTAAAATTTAAATTTGTCTAAGGGTTTCCATTTAACAATTTCAAAATATGAACTGAGGGAGGAGGAACACAAACATTCAGTCCATTGTAGTATGTTTAGTGCAGAATAAGGCATTACATTCTATTGCTGGAATAATACCCCTCAGTAAGAAAGTTTCACTGCATAAAGGAGTAAGACTTAGTTATAAGAAAATATCCTTTTATGGCTAGCAATATGCAGAAAATTGAAATTGGATCCCTTACCATATATAAAAATTAACTCAAGATGGATTGAAGACTTAAATGTAAAACACAAAAACTAGAAAAACCCTGGAAGACAACCTAGGCAATGCCATCCTGGACACAGGGACGGGCATGTTTACTGCAGCACTATTCATAATAGCAGACATGGACTCGATCTGAATGATAGATTGGATAAAGAAAATGTGGTACATTTACACTATGGAATACTATGCAGCCATTAAAAGGAATGAGTTCATGTCCTTTGCAGGGACATCAATGGAGCTGGAGGCCATTATCCTTAGCAAACTAATGCAGGAATAGAAAACCAAATACTACATGTTCTCAATTGTAAGTGGGAGCTAAATCATGAGAACACATGGATACGTGGTGGGTGGGAGGAGGGAGAGGATCAGGAAAAATAACTAATGGGTACTAGGCTTAATATCTGGGTGATGAAATAATCTGTACAACAAACCCTTGTGTCACACACTTCCTATGTAACAAACCTGCACATCCTGCACATGTACCCCTGAACTTAAAAGTTAAAAAAAAGAGAAAATATCCTTTTATATAATAATGTTTTGAAATGGACTAAATACAATTTCATTACCATAAAACAAATATACTATTTAAATATCTTTTTAATTTTCCTGTCATTTCAAGTAACCAAGTTTGGAAGCTTTCTCCTGAAGTCCCTGAAGAAACTAGACAGTGAACTCAACTTCAGTCTATTTCTTCTGTTGCAGTTAAAAACTGGAAACTTTTTTTTATTGCTCTCAAATGCTTTTAAGAAGCTCTTCTTCTAATAAATTGAAACTCGAGCCAAATTTTGAGGGATTTATAAAAATTAGAAATAAAATTCAACAACTATAAAATAATTGGTTTATAGAGAGAATAGACCGGACATACAGACTTTGGCACTTTCTATAACACATCGTAAAATGTAAGAAACCAGGCCTTTTGTGAGAAATTTACCAGAATATCTGTCCACAAATTTAAAATCAAAAAGTAACCATGAGGAGAAACCAAGCTATCTCAACCAGTGTACAAAACATTAAAAACAATAGCATATATGACCATTTAATAAGACTAATAATCAGAGTAATTTATTACTTTATTTTCAGTGGTTCCTGTCCTGAACTGTTATTTATAGCTAGTAGTTATTGACTAGAATTTTGTAATATTTATTTTATACACATATTACTATCTTCATAACAGCTGGCTACATTTTATCATATAATTTAATGTCTGGCTATAGTTTTCTTTGTGTAAGTTTATAAGATACAGTTAGAAAAGTCACTCTTTTTCTACCAAAAAAAACAGATGAATGAAGTGTGAGAGTTCCATAAATAGTGGAAAGGCCTTTCCAATACAAAATCAAACCTCCATTTCAAGAGAAGTAGAGAAAATTGTACCTTCTGATATCCAGGCAGACAGTACAAGTCTTGGAAAGGAGGCAGCAGCAGCTCCAACTTTGCATTTCCCTCCAAAGCCTAGGACGGGAGAGCACAGGTTGCAAAACAAAATTCTAATTACCTGTGCAGCAGCACATTTGACTCATTAACTCTTAATCATTTTCCTTTTTTTATTTCCACCCTAGGAAATGGAGCAAATCCAACCTTTTGCTTGCTTCCCCCTCACCCCAAAAGAATCCTACTGAGATTCTTCTGAAAGCTATGGATCCTCTCCCTAGAAAAATGCACAAAGTTTCTATATATGCTATATTGCACAAAATTTCAGGGAGTCCACACACTCCTTAAAGCTTGATCATGGAGCAGATTAAAACTTCTTGTTTAACATTTGGATGGAATTTTTGTCGAGTCAATAAAGTTCGCAACATTTAACTACCTAAAGACACCAATGTCAAATTGAGCATATTTAAGAAAGAATATTCCCATGACTTAATCATGTTCACCCACACTTTATTTTGAACTAAACTATTCAAAACCTACTTCCCACTTCCTGTTGTCTATTTTTTCATTCAGCATCAAAGCAGCAGGGCAAGTAAGATAGGGTAAATATCGGGGGCTAGTCATGATATGTTAGTCATACTTTAGAAATTTCTGTGGACCTAAGTGCCCTCCAGATCCTCTCTATAGAAGTCTACTGTCCATTTTCAAGTCCCTGTCATAGTTGTCTGAAGTAGCCTGTAGTCATATTAGGAGTAAAGGTCTTTAAATCTAAACCTACTACACATACACCAATATTAATGTTTCTTGACATACTCTTAATTTCTGCTACTGGCAGAGCAAAGCAATGGAAGTCACAGAAGTGACTAGAAATGGCTTATCAATAACCCTAAAACATTCCTATATAACTTCTGCCCATCAAGCAGGGATCATGAATATTATGTTTAATCAGTGTGTTCCTATAACTTAGAAGAGTGCTTGACACATAGAAGATGCTCAATATGTAAGACTAAACTTTGAGGATTGGAACAAATCATACTTCAGCATACTTTAAAAACTAGCAAAACTCTAGAGAAACACTTCAGGTAAGTAAAAGAAAAAAGGGGAAAACTAACCTAAATGTCTGCACATAAGATGCATTACCTGGGGTTCCCCAGGAAATAGAACTGAGGCAAAAGTTTACCAGATACACTTTATTAGGAAGCACAGGGGTGGCTAAAAAAGGGAGTTAGTGGGACAGAACAAATATCAGGACATGGATTTCTGAGTAGGCCTTTAATTAGTATTAAGCACAATCTTTTGAAAGGCCCCATGAATGATTATGTTCCAACTTTATACATTATGAGTTACAGGCCACTGAAGGATGAAAGGAGAATAATTTATCTTCTGAGGTCCATCTCCTCATGGTCCAAGGTTTTCCCCATAGAGCATTAATACCACACCACTGCCAGGTTACACACACACGAGAACCAACTAGGTCTCATTGCATCTCATGCTTCAGTGGCAACAGGGAAGCCCCAGGTGGCAAGTGCTATTATTCTGCTCGCTGGAGTAGCAGCTGGGCAGAGCCCAGGCTGAATTGATTTTTGAGGTGGTTGCTAGGCCAGAATAAGTGGCCAAAGGGCTAGAGATAGTTGAGACTAGGAGGATTTCTGGAAGCACAAATAAACATACTGTAGTTATTCACATAATGAAATGCTACTCAGCAATAACCAGGAGAAAACATATACTCAACATCATGGATGAAACCCTAAAACATAACACTTACATTTAAAAACCTTACACAAAGATTACATAGCATATGATTCTAGTTTTGTAACAAGACAAGTGAAATTAATCTGTGATTAACAAATCAGAAGAGTGGTTGCCTCTGAATGACGGGACGAAAATTGAATGAGAGGGGAATAAAGAAACTTTCCAGAGTAATACATTTTATGTCTTTGTGAGGATTGGGTTACACAGGTATCTGCATTTGTTATAATTCAGTGAATGAACAGCTAAGATTTATGGATTTCATTGTAGGTAAAATTTACAGCAAAAAGACAGTCATGCAATATAATCAATCAGTAATGAACTACGACAGCACAATTTAATATAGTATGATACCATTTTTGTAAAATAATGAAGAAAGAATAATGTTATATGTTTTTTATGAATACATACATATTCCGTGGGAAGTGGGAGAGGATCTAAATTGGAAGCACTGGTTAACGGGTCTTTAGCTTTTTCAAACTTTTTGTTTTAATAATGTAATTTTTAAGGTAGAAAAATATACTAATGCAGTATACATATTAATCATTTACAAAAAAAGTAATACATAGTTGCTATAATTTTAAAATTACATTAAAGTATAAATAAATTAAAATGCACTTAGCATGTGGCTATTTGCCACCCCTCAAATATTTTTCTTCTTTGAAGTATAGAAATTTATTTTTAACTTTTGTGTGTACATAGCAGGTGTATATATTTATGGCACAAAAATGTGAAATAAGCACATCGTGGAGAATGGGGTATGCATCCCCTCAAGCATTTACCCTTTTGCAAAGTTTGAGTTACAAACTTTTTAAACTTTTTTAATCCTTTGAGTTACAAACAGTCCAATTATACTCTTTAAATTATTTTTAAATGTACAATTCAGTTATTATTGATTTTTTAAATGTTGTTCAAAAACAAACCCCTAAACCAAAACTGTAGGCAGGTGGTTAGAAGTCTACAATTGGTGGAGAACTTACTACTTAATTCCTGCAGGTCGTTTTGAAGTGTATGGGCCCACACATCATGGATACATAACTATAAACATGGATTTTTAAAGAATATGTTTACATTATAAAGTAAATATGACTATGCATTATATAAGAAGTCTTTTTAAAAAGGATGTACTGCATGACTCTTCTTTTTTTTTTAAATATACTTTAAAGTTCAAAGTGCAGGTTTGTTACATATGAATACCATGTGCCATGCTGGGTGCGGCCACCCATTAACCGTCATTCATTAGTTATATCCCTAATGCTATCCCTCACCCTCCCCTCCACATAGGACCCGGGTGTGTGATGATCCCCTTCCTGTGTCCAAGTGATCTAATTGTTCAATTCCCACCTATGAGTGAGAACATGCGGTATTGGTTTTCTGTTCTTGTGATAGTTTCCCGAGAATGATGTTTCCAGCTGCGCCATCATGTCCCTACAAGGACCACAAACTCATCATTTTTATGGCTGCGTAGTATTCCATGGTGGCATATGTGCCACATTTCTTAATCCAGTCTGTGCACTGATGGACAATTTGGGTGATTCCAAGTCTTTGCTATTGTGGAATAGTGCCGCGATAAACTACGTGTCCATGTGTCTTATAGCAGCATGACTTATAATCCTTTGAGTATATCCCCAATAATGGGATGGCTGGGTCAATAGTATTTCTAGTTCTAGATCCTTAAGGATCGCCACCACTGTTTTCCCACAAGGTTGAACTAGTTTACATTTCCACCAACAGTGTAAAAGATCCTATTTCCTCCACATCCTCCCCATCACCTGTTGTTCCCTGATTTCTTAATGATTGCCATTCTAACGGGTGTGAGATGGTATCTCAATGTGGTTTTGATTTGAATCTCCTGATGGCAAGTGGTGATGAGCATTTTTCCAGTGTGCTGGTGCTGTATGAAAATGTCCTTCTTTTGAGAAGTGCTGTTCATATCCTTTGCCCACTTTTTGATGGGGTGTTTTTTTTTTTTTGTAAATTTGATTGAGTTCTTTATAGGTTCTGGATATTAGCCCTTTTGTCATGACTAGAGCAACAATTTTCTCCCATTCTGTGGCTTCGTGTGCACTCTGACGTAGTTTATTTGCTGTGCAGAAGCTCTTTAGTTTAATGAGATCCAATTTGTCAATTGTGCTTTTGTTGCCGTTGCTTTGTGTGTGTAGACATGAAGTCCTTGCCCAGGCCTATGTCCCGAATAGTATTACCTAGGTTTTCTTCTAGGGTTTTTATGGTTTTGAGGTCTAACTTTAAAGTCTCAATCCATCTTGAATTAATTTCTATAAGAGTAAGGAAGATCCAGGTTGAGCCTTCTACTTATGGCTAGCCATATTCCCAACACCATTTATTAAATAGGGAATCCTTTCCCCATTTCGGTTTGTCAGGTTTGTCAAAGATCAGATGCTGTAGAGTGTGGCCATTATTCGCTGAGGACTCGTCGGTTCATTGGTCTATTCTCGTTTTTGGTACCAGTACATGCCTGTTTTGGTTACTGTACCCTTGTAGATATAGTTGAAAGTCAGGAGCGTGATGCCCTCCACTTTGTTCTTTGGCGTAGGACGTCTTGGCAATGCGGCTCTTTTTGGTTCCATATGAACTTTAAAGCCATTTTTTCCAATTCTTGAAGAAATCATTGGTAGCTTAATGGGATGGCACTGAATCTATAAATTACCTTGGGCAGTATGGCTATTTTCACAATATTGATTCTTCCTATCCATGAGCATGGTATGGTCTTCCATGTGTTTGTGTCCTCTTTTATTTCACTGAGCAGTGTTTTGTAGTCCCCCCTTGAGGAGGCCTTTAAATCCCTTTAGTGGAAGTCCCCTAGGTATTTTATCTCTTTGAAGCTAAGAGCTTATTGTGACAAATCCAAAGCCAAGATCATACCTGAATGGGCAAAAACTGGAAAAATTCCTTTGAAAACAGACAACAAGACAGGAATGCCCTCTCCTCACCACTCCTATTCAACATAATGTTGGAAGTTCTGGCTTAGGCAATCAGGCAAGAAGAAAAATCAAGGGTATTCAGTTAGGAAAAGAAGAAGTCAAATGCCCCTGTTTGCAGATGACATGATTGTATATCTAGAAACCCCATCATCTCCAGCCCAAAATCTCCTTAAGGCTGATAAGCAACTTCAGCAAAGTCTCAGGATACAAAATCAATGTGCAAATCACAAGCATTCTTATACACCAGTAACAGACAAACAGAGAGCCAAATCATGAAGGAACTCCCATTCACAATAGCTTCAAAGAGACCCATCTTATATCTAGTAACACCACAGACTTAAAGGAAAGGGATGAAGAAAAATCTACCAAGGAAACAGAACACACACAAAA